ATAGTGATTGTTTCTTCGATTGTTGCTTGAATAACTCCGCAACGCTGATAGTTACCGAGTTCGGGTTTTCACTGTTGGAAAGAGGATGAATGCAGATATCTGTTCACATCAAAGACCAAATCCGAGATTTTCTAAGTTTCTAGAAAATCATTGACTAGTTTTCAGTCGCTTGAGCGCATTTTAACGAGCGCTCGTGCACTGCAATATAGTTTTTATCGAAATATTTATTTTTATTTACATAATAAGTGAACAGTTATTTATACAGCAAGTAACCAATTGTTTAAACATTTCACTTAATAAGCTGTTATTTAAACCGTTCACTTATTATTTAAACAAAAAAATATATTTCGATAAAAACTATATTCCAGTGCACGAGCGCTCGTTAAAATGCGCTCAGGCGTGAGCGCGCTCATGTTTTCTCCGCTCGATCAATTTATGGAAGGCCCATAGCATCAAAACTAACGGGATAGCAAGAAGATACGGCCTTAGCGCCTTCTGTAAATTAAATGCTGCTCCATGAATAAAAGTCGTAAAGAGACGTCTCTCTTCAGAAATGTTTGCTCTACACGATGGACGTATTTACAACGAATTTCTAGATTGAACTGGGGGACCTGGTTTTCCAGAGACCGTATTTCAGGAGTTTTGATGGAACATTTCTGTACACCATCTAAGATCGAAAATTCTTTCAGCTGTTCAAATTTTTTTTCAGATTTATTCTAGCTGTTATGGTCGACGAGAAAAATGAAACATAAAGGTGGCGAACAATGTGTGTGGTGACGTGGCAAAATTCGAAAGTGATCAAGAGCTCATTTGGCAGAGCCACGACCTATGGAAAAGTCTAGTATCAAACTCATAAAACCTGCTGCTAGGCTTTAAGTTTCCTATTAACAGATATTCAATTCATCAGTTATGTTCACTTTTAAGTGTCATTGGGCTCATATTTGACCTATAAAGGATTAAGCCAATGATATATAGAGTTTGTTTAATCAGAATATTGTAGAGTTTTTCAAGAACTATTTTTCTATATCAAGCTTTACCATACCTTCTTATTAGATTTTGAACATAATCGTTTTTGTTAAGTACCGATATACTTTATGTATAAGAAAAGTTATTTTAAAAAGTCTCCATAAGGTTATAATGGTACATGTGCACTTCAAAATGTGTAAAATCGTTTTCTCTACAAAATGTGATCATAACTGAGTCGAAAAAGCAGTGGAAAAGCTGGTCCCTCCTTTTGGAGCTCTTCTTCTTTGGAGCTCTCTTCCATAGTGAAAACTTCGCGAGGTAATAAGCAATTATATGGATCATAAAGAAGTGACACACTTTAGATAAGAATGATAAAGGAGACCTTTTGTCTGACTTTTACTATTTTTAGATGATTACATACTCTTTTCTCTGAAAAGTTGGGCAAAACAGTTATACAAAATAAATATGGCAGTAATAGTAGTGTAGCTTTTTAAAATTATTACTCTGCTCGGCTACTTAGTAGAGAGAGCAAAATATGGAATCAGTAATCGACCGCGATTTTGCTGCTATCCGTACATACAGAGGAAGTATTTCCGATAATGAATTAAAAAATATACTTAATGAAATTTACATTGAATCACGCAAATCATCATATGAAGAAAAGGAAGTATTGCGGAGATTTTGTAAAGTTATCCAAGAAACAAATATTGAAGAGAACTTGTCGCATCCGTCTATCCGAACACATGAAATATTTATTTCGATGGGAAACGTACTACAACAATTTTCGAGACATGATAACAGTATTTTTAGTACCATTACTCCAGTTCTTTGCAACACTTTTACTTATCAAATAGACAAAGACAATAAGATTTTTGAAAAAATATTATTAAACGAAAAATTCGTTAAATCAGTTAAAGAACGTATCGAAAATATAGCGGAAAATAGCCGTAATAATGATGTCGAAGACGCTATGTCAACTTTACTTCGGTTCTATATAGACGCTCGCAAGAATATTACGGATATAAACACTACTAGTTTATCATTATTAATAGATGCAATTGTCAAATGTGTTTGTTCGAAATATTACACAGAACGATTCCAAGAAATAAGTGTTATTCAAGTCGAATGGAAATATGCAGACGATTTTTTTTACACGTGTGTCCACAATTTCTTCTTTCTCCACTCAATAATCGTCCAGAAGAAGTAGCTAACTGTATCATTCAGTCTCTATTGAATTATAATGACTACTTATTCAATTGTTTTTTGCACATTATTGAAAAATCAGACGATGCGTTCTTTGTTATTTTCGCTTATTATTTAGATTTATTAAATCTATGTGCTCTATTTGAATCGACAAGAAAATATTTTATTCAATTTCCAAGACTCATAGACAATGTCTTGGCAGTTTTAGATTCACAACATTATATCAGAATGGTAAATGACCGATGTTGCTTATGGAATGAACGGGTCACTACTGATATTGTTGTTAACCTTGTGTCGCCTGGTCTGCCGTTGTTACATAGTTTAACACCAGACCAAACTATATGTTCGAATATAAAATCGAGAAAGAATGCAAGAAATGTGATTTTACGATTATGTAACAAAACAATCAAAAAGGTTCAATTTCGTGCTCGAGCGCTATCGATTTCGATCAGTAATAATGTTAGTAATTTACCTGAACGAAAGGCGGTGGCATCAATGTATATTGATCGTATATCAGAATTAGTCACAAATATATCACAACATGATCAAAATGTACCACTAGACAGTGTTGTACTACATTTAAAGGGTAAGCACAAACGTCAAAAACTAGACTCCTCATCTATTCCTTATTTTAGTGATTGTCAAAGATGATGAGATTAAAACAGAAATAATTAAGGGAAATGGTATACCTGTGCTAATTGTATGTGCATTTCAACCTCAATTTCATGTTGAAACAGTGCAACAACCGTCATTAGAAATACTTCGAGCTGTCAGTTTTGAAACTGAAGCTGCTAGTATAATCAAAGAGCAGGAAAAATTTATTCAACTGTTGAACGATATTGTATTAGCAAATGTTTTCCCTCAGCGCATTCCAGCTGATGGTATCCTGTTTAACTTAGCTGAGCACGAGGCGACAATGATAAAAGATCAAACTAAAGCTTCTTGTGTTCATAAACGCATGCTGGTAGGACCCGTTGCTACCGCATTTGAATACGATATAATGATTAGTTACTGTCATAAAAATCGTGAACTATGTCACAAAATTTATGAATGTTTGAATGTTGAAACCTGTTACAAAGTGTGGATTGATAAAGAAAGAATGTATGGATCTTTAATGGCACGAATGGCGGAAGGCGTCGAAAAATCTGAAATTGTTCTTATTTGTATGTCATCCTCATATAAAGAAAGTGACAACTGTAAATCTGAAGCGATCTATGCTAAAAAACGACATCGTTATTTAATACCTTTAATAGTGGAGCCAAAATACAATCCCAGTGGATGGTTAGGTGTTTATCGTGATGATTTACTTTATATCGATTTTACAAAGACGAACTTTGATGTAGCATTCGAAGAATTAACCGCACAACTCAAACGTTATCGAGATAGAAAAAAAGGTAAGCTG